ACTCATTTTTCAGAAATTCATAGAACCCCTAACCATTAACCCAACATAAACAAAAACAATGCCCGCAATTCGCGACGCGACACGACAAACACGTGCTATTCGGGCGTATTGGGGTATTCCCATTGCGCGAGTGGGTTGCGCTCAAGGTTGCGCTTGCGCATTGTGAAAGGAGTCTAGCCTCCTATAGATGTTGCTAAGTTGCATATTTTACGCGTGATTTGCAGACTTCAACGTGTGATGCGTGGGCAAGCACTGTTGCCAATTCAAAAATATTAACCTAAAAACAGGAAATAAAATCAAAATCCATGTATTTTGGTGTCCTTTTAATGAGAAAGTATAAATAATATCAGTTCAGGGAAAATCTCTGAGGAGGCTCAGCCTCCGTTGCCTCCTCTGAGGAGCCGCCACTGCTGTAGAAGTGTCTTTCATTGCACTAGTGGCACTCAGGCAATCTCACCTTTGATTGACACTAATTGAGGTACGTAGTTTTTGAAAGGTATCAGATTAGTATAGATGTAGTTTTCATTAGGTATTAGATTGGTATAGAGGTCAGATAATTTATACGACGCCAGAAAAGCAGATGATATTTTATCATTGCTCATGTAAGATGGAAGTAGAGGCCATGGCACCATATCATGAGCATATTTTTATATCGAAACTATCATTGGGCACCAAAGATGTGTATACGACGCTATGAAAGTTCAGAGAACTGGAGATTTTTCCCACAAACTACGAATTTAGCCCACTCGGCTGTCTTGGTTTTTCCACACAAACTACGTATCTAGCCCACTTGACTGCCAATAGGGACTAAAAAAAAACAAGAGAAAGTTAAAGCAATGCCAACATATTTCATCTTTGTGGGAAATCAAGCCAGTCGAGTGAGCTAGGTACGTAGTTTGTGGGAAAAAATCAAGACAGTCGAGTGAGCTAGGTACGTAGTTTGTGGGGAAAAATCAAGACAGTCGAGTAAGCTAGGCACGTAGTTTGTGGAAAAAAATCAAGATAGTTGAGTAAGCTAGGTACGTAGTTCATGAGAAAAAAATGAAGACAGTCGAGTGTGCTTTTTTCACTTTCTTTTGTTTTTTGTTTTGTTTTCTATTGGCAAGTGATTATCTAGGAACTTGTAAATTTTTTAGTTTTTTCATCGTGTGTTTGCATCACTCGCCCTTCAGGCTCGTGCCACAAACTTTCACACTCGTGAGAAAAGTTGAACTTTTCCCACTTATTGCACAATATACTATTTCCATTTCAGGTGGTAATATGCCGAGGTTCCCCGACCCCCGCGACTTCCGACTCGCCATCGTGGACGAGCCGGCCGGAGTGCGCGTGCGCGTCGAATTCCTCTCCCCCGCCCTTGTCAACATCTGCATGGACATCCGGATCTTGGTGGCCATCGGCATCGATGCCTGGCCCGCGGCCACCGATTTTCCCAGGAGGGTGCCTTTGGGCCACTCGGATTGCTTGTTGCACCACCAAGCAGCTGAAACGGTAACAATAAATATAGTTAATTTTCCACCACTAGCTATAGAACCTACCATTATTGACTACCTATCAAGAAGTGAAGTGTATTTTTTCTACCAAGGGAGTTTATATACCAATATTTTGAAGGGAAAAGATTTGATTGTTCGTTTGTTTGTATTGAAAAATTGTAAAAAAAATTTTGAATTGTAAAATTGTTGTAAAATTGTTCGATCCGTCATTCGGTTGCCTCCTTACGAGCAACCCTCAGAAGTCTTCGAGAGTCTTGTGCGAGCAAGGAATGACGGGGGCCTTACCTTTTAACGTGTGATCCCAAACACGTTCTTGAGCCATCAGAAAAATTTCTGCAGTCGATGGGAATTGAACCCACGACCGGCAAGCGAATGCGGATTAGAATATTGACACTCGTCCGCACGGCTACCTGGCCCTGATAATTGAATAGAATGATAGATAATGAATTGAATAGTCTATTGCCGTATCAGCGTGAGAAATAAGATGACCTTCGAAGTTCCAAATTTCAGCTATTAGTTATCACCTAATAACACAATTAAGTCCTATGGACTTTCATAGGACGTCCTGTCAGGACATTCAGGGCGTCCGTAGGACGTTCGAATGTGGTACCACGGACGTCTATTGGGGACCAAATAGGGACGTCCTTGAGGGATGTCCCTGGGACAACTATCGAATACCCAAATCCTACAGTATTCCTCATCAAGCACTACGGAGGACATCCGTAGGACAACCTATCAGCAACGCTGAGGGACATTAATTGGATCTCCATAGGATGTCCCAGGGACGTACGAAAATTATTCTGGAATTTGAATTTTTATGAGTCCCTCTAGGCCCAGATCTTGCATAACTGATGAGGACCTCCAGTTGAGTTGATGGTCCGTAGAAGGTCCCCAATAGATCCTGAAAATGTTTCTCAAGGATGTCCAATGGAATTAGGTGAAGGTCATTGACAAGGAGTATTCATAGCCTACGAGCAATCATTCGTCGGCAAGGTGTAAGTTAACGTCCTTGCAGGGACAATATATCGAACCTACCGACTGGGACGTCCATAAACGATGTTATTTCTAGGACATTGGAAGAGTACAGTTCATGTACCAATTGGGACATCTGACGGATATCCTTAAAAGGGACATTCGAAGGATGTCCCTAAGGGACATTTCGATTGTTATACGATCCTGGAAATATCAAGGGCGTCTGTGCAGAGATATTTGAAGGAATGTGCCATCAGAGACATTTCATGGTTGTCTAGAAGGGACATTATATGAGATCTGAAGTCATTTCAAAATATATACTACTCGGGACATCCGATGGATGTCCCTAAAGGAACGTTTAAAATCATATCCCATCAGGGACATGCCAAGGACATCTTTGCATGGACATTCTACAATATGTATCACGTCGGACGTCTAAGGGATGCTATTTCTAGGACATTTGAAATGATGTACCAGCTGGGAGATTCCGTGGACGTCCTTGCTCGGACTTTGCATGAAATGTACAGGATGGGACATCCCAAGGACACTTATTTTTGGTCCGGGGCATTCGGACTTGAATTGTACCAGATAGGGACGTCCCTAGGACGTTATGTGCTATTAGGGTCATTATTGTAATTCTCATGAGGAAAGATATGGATTGAAATGCAAAATTCTTCAACCTCAGTTCCATTAATTTTTGGTTGACCTAAACTAGAGAGATCCTTCTGTAGAAGTTACAACGATGAAACTACGTATCTCAGTATTACATGTATTTCTACATCGAAGGATGAATCGAATAATCAAAAATATCAGAATTCGCCATTGAACAACTAACACCCTATATGATATTTTGCGTTCGAATTTCGTATGTGGTGGTATTTCAGCTATGCGTTTTTGATATTTTGACCTTCTCGACAAACTAAAGTAGGCCTTGAAAACCTAAATATTTCAGTTTGTCCACATTTTCGAATAGAGCTCGTTGAATACTATATATTATGGAATTTTTGTTTTTGAGAATCGGTCGACGGGTTCGAAATAATTAAGAGGGTGTTGAAATCGCACAGACCGTATATTATGATGATTTACATAATAATCACGGCCATGCAGCCAATCCCATCACATGTTTACAAATCTTACAAAACAAGGTCTCAAGAATGATATTTTCCTAGGGCATTTAATTCTTCAGTGAATTTTTATATTTGGCGAAAGAGCAAACTTCTCCTTCGCCAAAAGTTGAAAAACGACATTGGTCAATATTATTCCTTCCTGAGTTTTTTAGTATGAATAGAAAGATCAAGAGTTGAAATAGATAACAAGTCAAAGATGAAGAATAAGCGTAGGGACATCTGAAATCATCCCAGTGAAACAATAGATAGGACCAAAACAATGAAATACTTAGGTGTTATACTAGACCAGCAATGGGATGAAGATGCAAATCATATTACAAAAAGATTGAGAAAGCTCATTTACACGTTCTATAGCCTAAGAGACATCCTTGATAAAAAGAATTTACTACTACCAGATGTTATACTTCTTTGGCTGAATCTGTGATAAGGTATTGTATATTAGCATGGGGTGGATCATTTCACAGTGTATATAATGAACGGTTTGCTAACTGTACAAAACACTTTATTGAGAATTATATTTGAAAAAGCAGATTACACTCAACTGAATCGTTATATGAAGAAACGGGATTGCTTTTAACGTCAGATCTACATTTACTTTCCAATGTCTGATTTGGATCTACTCAATCATGGGAAAATTTCAAGAATCCAAGTCCAAATTGAGTAGATTCACAAGTACGCTCAAACTCCCACTGTTCCACAAGACTCGTACACAGAGATTAATTTTTTTTACGGGCCAAAATTATATAATATGATGCCAGTGCATCTGAAAAGAATGAATAATCTACATAAATTGAAAAAAAAATGCTGAAAATTTACCTCACTGACAATGTTTCCACAATCAATAATATATTTTGAACTGAAGTAGTCAAGATCAATTCACTTGGATTTTCCTTTTTCTTTCTCCCTTTCTCTCTCATCTTATCTGCAAATGCATCTATATTTTCATTCTATTCGAAACATAAACACATAAATAATGTAAAATAAAGCAAAATATAATTGTTAATCACACAGATTCTATGATTATTTCATCCTCCGTCCTCTACTCATTCCATTGACCACATGTCTGTTGTCAAATACTGTATGAAATGAATTCGTTCAAATATAGGGATTGGGCACAATACAAGCATATACTTATGCTTAGGTGTTATCCTCGTATTTTGAATGATCCTAATATTAATGATGCATGTATAATATGATGATTTTCTTGTTTGTATTGAATACATTGATTTGAAATGAATTGAATCTAATTAGGCAGACTTTTATTGATAGATCTTTCTTCGTGATGCTTCATTAGGAACTAAATCATATTTTGAGTTTCAGTAAGGAGGAAATCTGATATTTCGATCCAAAATACTATTCACATTGCAACATGGAGGAGAATCAGATCGATGAACGATTATTTTTCAGGGTATGTACCTGGTGGGATATGGTGTTCAATCCTCAGCTTGGCAAATTCGTCTTCCAGCAGCTGAAAATGTGATTTTGAACCACTACGGTCCTACTAGTACTGTCAAAACAGTGCTCGATATGCTTTACCTTGTATTGGATGATATAGACAACATGAGGAAATTACAAAAGCATCAAGTAAGTGAACACAGTTTGTGAACAATCTCACTCGTCCAGTTTCACACAGCGAATAAAAATATTAATCTCTGGTAGAAGTCCATGTTTGCTCAAAGTGGAGTGAAATTTTTAAAAGAAGGAAGGAAAGCTCAAAGTCATCTCCACAACTTTAATATTGATATAGTTATTCAACGGGACATGTTTCGAACTTATAAAAGTCCATCTTCAGCCGTATTTTAGAAATTACTACAAGTAAAGGCATGTGAAAAAATACGAAATGTTATAACCAAAGATTGACTTACATGGAGGTGAACATTATTTGTTTTAACAAAGTTGCCGATGTCTCTCATCATAATATCATGTATAATAATAAATAGTTTTGAGGAATAAACAGGTTTTCATTTGAAATAAAGGGCCAGAAGGGAAACTTGACGAGCACACAATAAGGTGCTCTTAATAATCATTTTGGTGTAATACAGGAAAAGGGTCCGGTACCCTTGAGAGAGCGCACTTAATTTGCAAAAATCAATTTAGAATTGATGGGGCCAAAAGCCAAAAACGTGTTAAATCCAACTTAAGGTTGGAAACACGGAATTAATTGAAAGAACCTTGACATAAGTCGAAGTCTTAATGACATGATATTATAACAAGTGGACTAGGACACAGAATTAAAGTAAACACTGAGATGAATGTGAATTCCACTAGTGGTAGTACAGTTCGAAATAATAAAACAGAAATGACAATGAGAAGATTTGAGGGGGGGAAGGAGGAACATTCCAACGAGATGGTTAAGTAGCAAATCTGAAATATGAGCAAATGAATAATGATAATAGAAAGAGACCAAAGCAGGTGCCAAACAACATAAAACTAAATTTGTTTCTTGGTTAAATCTAAAGAATTGAAAAATTTAACACAATGATACTTTACCTGTTCCTTAAGGAATGTGACAGAGTTATTGTTCAAAGCAGAATTTATTTCAAAAATTCCTAATAGATTGAATAAGGCACCTTTCTGACAAACATGTGAGATTTTCAGATCTTGATTTATGTCAAGTTATGTTTAGAATTTAGTATGTGGTTAGCAAAAGAACTCTTAGTGTTATACTCATCTAAAATCGGAGGCGAGGTTTTGGATTTTTCTATAGTTTTGACATGTTCCAAGACTCTGGTTGAAATCCTTCTACCACTTTGGCCAACATACTGTGCATTGCAATCAGAACAAGAAATGCTATAGACACCGGATCTATGATTCAAAGAAACTTCAATTGTCTTTTGTATTAACTAAGATTTTTGAAATATTATCAATAGAACGGAAAGAAATATTCATATTATCCATAAAACGATGAAAAATACTTTTAATATCAATGGAGATTTTACCCAAGAAAGGAATTGGGGCGACACGGTTTCTAGGGTTGTCCAAAGGCAGTGAATTTCTATTAATAGATTTGTTGAGGTGTTTGTTGTATATTCTATTGATGACACGAGAAGGGAAACCATTATTATGACCATTCTGTGCGATAATGTTCAATTCCTCATTGAAAGCATCAGGGCTCATAGGAATGTTGAACAGTCTATGAAACGGAGAGTTAAATGCAGCAAATTTATGTTGATTAGGATGGCAAGAAGAGAAGGGGATGACTGAATCTGTGTGTGTAGGTTTACGGTAAATAAAAAAGTTGAAATGGTCATTGTCCATGTTGATAAGCAAATCCAAAAAGGAAAGTGAATTGTTAACTGCAACCTCCATAGTAAACTTAATTGCAGGGTGTAAGGAATTCAAGAAATCTAGGAGAAGGTTGACTTACTGTAAATTACCATCAAATGGAACTACAATATCATCAACATACCAATACCAGAAACAAATTTTGTGATTCAAATTGAAATAATTTGGTTGACTCTCTAAATTGTGTAAAAAGATTTCAGCCAAAAGTGGAGGTAAGTAATGGTAAGTTACTTCCCATGGCTAGGCCAGAGACTTGTGAAAAGTAAGGATTATTGAATTGAAAGAAATTTTGTTTGAGAACAATATCCAGCAAGCAAAATGCGTCCTATAGTGCGTTGACAAAAGATGATTTTGGGCATTCGACTTTCAAAAGGTGGAATATCTGGCGGCACTTTTCCTTGGTAATCGAAAATAGAGTTTGCTGCGACCATCGCTGCAAAAATATTTGCTTCCTCCTGCCATGTTGTTGTTAATGTGCCGTCGACTTTGTTGGAGAGCGGTGAAATGAACTATTAGTAAAATTCCTCCCGACTGCCTCAGTGAGGGACCAAAACGAACGGGAGCCATTGGGAAAATCTATGTGAAGTTGTTGAGATTTATATTTTCTATCGTCGAGGCGAAAAGATACTTCACGCTTCAACAGCTCCTCATGATCTGAAGAGCACAGAAAAGGCCTGTTTGAGAATACTGTTCCCACATATGGGGTTAGCTCCCAAACATACGCTGATACTTTTAGATTCTATCCTGAGACGAGCTATTCACCTGGTGGGTGATGCCACACTAATTGAGCCCAGTCAGTACCTCCTTGTGTCATCAACCTCGAAAAATGTCGAACAAATCTTTACCAAATCTCGTTTGTCTATAGACCAGCATAGCTTTGGAATTCTTTGCCAGGAAGTATTTTCAAGAGCTTATAATCTCCATAAGTTCAAAAAAATTCCACTACCTACCTATCCTCCCTAGGAACGCACGATATTCCTAGAACATTATAGGGATTTCCTGTCGTGCGTTCCAAGAGATTAAAACAATAATAATAATAAAATGTCAAACCCAAATGAGCATGTAGATAGGACATGACACTCGATGTACATGCATATAAAGGCGAAAAATTCGTTTCATAATGAGAAGTACGTGTTTTCATTGGCCAAAATCTGTTTCATAATGAAAATCCATATTAAAATGGAATATTTTATTGATGTACCGCTTTCCACTTACGAGGATCGAACTATAACACATTCGGTCATCGCTCCAATGCCTATCAATGCCTATGAATTGGTATAGGAGATATTCGATTCGAGTATTGTAATATGGGAGTTGAAACAGATAAACAACACATCAATCGTTACTAACGCGCAGGAATTGCGACAGGAACACGACCGTGAGCATTTCAAGTACTATAAACTTCCTCGTCCTTCCCGTACTTCCTTGTACTTCCTCGTACTTCCTCGTACTTCCTAGTACTTCCTCGTGCTTCCCGTACTTCTCTTGTACTTCTTCAGGCTGTACACCATACTTCCTCAGCGGTTTACCCCTCGACTTTGAGATACCATGGACTTTTACTACAGATCGAACAGACGTCTATCTGGATATAATTCAATAATTAGAACAAGTATTTGTTTCACATTGTCAAAATACGACCTCCAATAAGCATATTATTTATTCAACAAGCTTATAATGAGGGCTATTATTCACGAATGCTAAGTTTATGACCCTGAGTGAATAATAGCTCATTATATGCTAGTGGAATACTATACTTTGTCCACGATCACTATTGTTTTTGATATATAAATTCATTTTTATTAACTATTTCATCATTTGACATTAAGAAACGAAAAAATTGAAGATACCTGTTATATTAATTATTTGTCCACGACTGTTGTACGTCCTCAAGCAAAGCGATAGCCATTTTTCACACCAGTGAATAATAGCGGTGAATAATCATTATCCAGTGGTCAAAAGTTCCTTATATATGCTATATCGCGTACCCTAGGAACTCTAGACCAGTGAATTATGGTTATTACTGCTATTATTCACTGGTGTGAAAAATTGCTACCGTTTTGCTTCAGGAAGTACATGTATCATGAATATTTCATACAACAGAGTCGTGGAATATAATATACCTATTGTGTTTACAGGTATCCTACAGAATTCTGAACAGGTACATTTTCCTGACGCTCCTGTTAGATGATCTAGAAGAAAACTCGAACAATCCTATAGCTGATATGATCAAATGGTCTCCGCTCTACCTATCGACACATGTGCTGCAATTATTAGACAAAATGATACCGAAGCTACAAGATGAAAAGCTGTCGAACTACTTCTTCAAGAAAGCCAATCTGCTAGTGAACCCCGGACACCTATCTGATGACGATTTCACGATCGAAGCCACTAACGTCAGGAACATCTTGGTGCGCCTTTTTGACGAATCTATAATGTCCATAAGTGGTGAGGAAAATCACATTCTATGCATGCAGAAAATAACTCTAGGAGGATATTTATTAGTGGCAAGTGAAACCTTGTATACTGTTTGAGACAAGAAAACAAGTTAATAACCACAAGAATTTTTTTTTTGGAAATGTACACCTACCACAGATTCATAACCGTTAGTGAACATAGCACTTATCATAAGTGACTCATTCACTTATATTAGTGAAGTATTCACTCGTCATTAGTGACTTCTCCACTTGTCATTAGTGACCTAATCACATGTCATTATAGTGACTTATTTACTCGTCATCAGTGACTTTTATTCACCTAATGTCATAAGTAACTTATTTACCTGTCATTAGCTAGGTACTACGAAAAATTCCATATAATGTTCTCTGAAAAATGATAACCTTGAGAAAAAGACACCAAATCGTGCATTACACGAATTTATTGTATATTTATAATGAATCAAGAAATTACAAAATGGTAAAAGGCTGAGGGCAAATATTGAGACACTATAGATACCGGGTATATCAGGATCATGCGCCGAGAAATACTGTCCATCATATGCACTAGTACACTCTTTTCTCTCCACTGATGGAGATGAAATAGTGGAATTGGAATTGACTTTCATAATCATTAAACGTCGCTTTTTCACACTTCGAGCATTATCAGGAGTTGAATAGAATCCTGTATATGATGTACTGTTCTGGGAGAGTTATGTACTTCATTATGCTCTTCAAAAGAATAACAGATCAAGAACTCAACACTCCGCAGCTCAGAGCGCGGCACACAAACTGAGAATCTTCACGAATATGATGTAGCAGTTGTTCCGAAGGGCACTTGCAAGACTTGGAATTTTAATTGTACTAGCGAGAACGCATGTATACTTCACAAATGCTATAACATCATATAATGAATCCGTGGAGAGTGGGAGTAGTCGCGTTGGGCGTGAACACCCGAATAATATATCGGAGATATTCGAACGGAGACAAGATCTATAACTACAGGTGATCTATCACCTGCACCAATCGACTTGATGCATTGTCTTCATCGATGAGTTCGCTCAGAGCAAGTGATTTCGTCTCAGAAACGTAATTTAATGTTGAGTATCCATCAACCTAACACTATTTTAGTGTTCACCCATAATTAGCAATCTCAAACTACATATATCGATTTGGTTAATACCAACAAATGTCCTGATCACTTACAGCAGAAACATTGTTTTAGAAATATTGTATTGCCTACGCCAAGTACTCTATTTTCCTACCGTTGGTGAAATACTCTTATCACAATCGACTTTTTTTCAAGAAAACGATTAACTTGGCCGATTTCTCTCAGTGCAGTACAGTGAAAAAACTCGGGTTATTCCAGGCGCTGGCCGGCTGTATACGAAGTGGAACCTGCGGGTTCTTCGGAATTTTTGTTTTTCTTTGTAAAATTCTGGATTATCGGGATTTTCGGGTTAGAACGTGATGAAGGTATCCTTTTTTTAAAGTTCTGGTTTCCACGGAAAGGGATATCCTGTAATGTTCAGAGAACATCGTGAGAACCAAGAGGAATGAGGTAGGAATTGGTGTTCTTCTTAAATTTCTGGGGGTTATATGCCTCGGGGAACATCTCCCTTGGCAATGTGTTCCAGAGCCTCGCTGTTCGTTGGATGAACGAGTCTTTGGAAAGAGATGTTCTGCAGGTCTCCAAAGTGACCACGAAGGGACTGCCAAGGGAAGAACAATTGTTGATATTTCAGAAGAGCCAACTTTTCTACGGTGTTTTTTGGACAGAATCCAACAGTTTCAGGGTATGTTTGGGTGCTGCACTCCAAATATGGGAACAGTATTCCAGGACAGGTCGGATCTGTGCCTTATAGATCGTAAACAGCTGACTGGAAGTGAAATAGCTCCTGGCCCGAAACAGAAAACCAAGTTTTTGGGATGCACTTTTAGCAATCGATCTCACGTGATTTTCCCAAGAAAGGTTATTGCTGATAGTGATACCAAGCATCAAAATGGATGTCTTCAAAGGTATGGTTACTTCTGACAAGCTTATGTTGGGCACAGTGAGATCGGCTTTTCTAGAGAAAAGGCATGTTTGTGTTTTGTTTGCATTGAAATCTACCAAGTTATTGGATCCCTATTCGAGAATTGTTGCCTAGTTCATATTTATGTTGTCAACATTTCTTCCTCATTCGTTTCTGATTTGCCTGGCTGGTATTCTTGAAGAGAAGGCGGTATGGAGGGTATCATCATCCGCGAAGCTGTGTACTGGACATGAAGTTGCTTCCAACAAATCGTGGATATGGAGTAGAAATAGTGTTGGTGCTAGAATTCATCTTTGCGGAACACCAGCATTTATGATGAGAGAGTCATATGAAACTCCATCGACCACTACATGGAGAGACCTGTTTGAGAGAAAACTAGCTAGCAGAGAACATAGCTGGGGAGGCAAGCCATAAGATGGAAGCTTGGCGACGAGTCCGTTGTGCCAGACTCGATCGAATGCCTTGGAGATATCAAGTGCCACGGCTAAGGTTTCACCATATTTTCCAATAGATTGCGGCCATATATGTGAGACGTAAGCGAGCAGGTCACCAGTTGATCTCTGATGACGGAAGCCATATTGCCTATCGCTGATAGTACGAGAATGATAATAGCTTTCTCCATGATCTTTGAAATGATAGATAGCAGTGCGATCGGTCTGTAGTTGATAGGTAGGGTATTTTTGCCTTCATCAGGAATTGGTTGTATTCTTGCAATTTTCCATCTGGACGAGAATATCCCCAATTTGTAAGAGTAGTTGAACAACTTGCAGAGAACAGGTGTTAGTTCGGAAGGACATTCCTTGAGAACAATCGGTGGGATTCCGTCGGAGACAAAAGCTTCGTTGGTGCTGAGACCCAATAAAATCTTACTTATAGTACGTTGGAGAAAGATGATCACGGGCATATGACTGTCAATTGGCGTCATGTTTGGAGGTTGTTTTCCCTATGAATCCAGTGTGGAATTTCCAGCAAATAAATGCGCAAAAATGTTGGCTTTCTCCTGGGCAGTTATGGTTAGTTTTCCATCTCCCTTGGTTAGAGGAGGAAACGAGCTGGAAGTGAAGTTTCTTCCTACAGCTTTGGCGAAGGACCAAAATGAACGGGATCCGTTAGGACATTCAACAAGTTTTGATCTCATTTTGGTATTATGAGCACCCTATGATAATCGAATTATCTCATTGCATATATGCCTCTAGCCTCGACATATTCTGCTTTAGTCTCAGGGCCTGGAGTAATGGGAAACGAGTCGTAGGGTGGTTGTTTCAAAAAACAGTTTCTATTTAAATGTTCTCAGGTTTCAGTAGCGCTTACATTGGAAAATGTCGAACAACACTCTACCAAAACTCGTTCGGTAGCTTTGGAATTCTTCGCCAATGAAAGTATTCCCAAGAACTCATCCGGAAGTTCAGAAAAAATCCAACACCTTCCTTCTCGACCTATCCTCCCCAGAAACGCGCGATGTTCCATAGGAATTATAGGAATTTCCTTTCGCGCGCTCCAAGATATAAAAAAAAGAAGATAGTTAACAAAGACCAGAATTTTGGGTTCCCATAATTCGATGATATCTTCCAAGAGATCTGAGACATTGATATCAATGATTAGTCAGTAAATAGTAATGAACTACCCTAAATTTATACGAGAAATCAGATTACAGTGTATTACAATGGAATCATAATAGGGTACCTACATACCCTTGATGAATGAAAGAAAGGAAAATTATAGTGATATTTTTATTGCTATACATACATATTCATTTCCACGATGATTTGAAATAATCCGCATTTATCCTCCGCACAAACTGCACCAGACTGGGAAATTTCATGACTTTGCTTGCCAACTCATTCCTTGGCAATGGTACTCTCAGAATAGCTGACAGATGACCAAAGACTAAAGCGTCCAACTCCGTCGGACCACCTTCGAAAAATAACGGCTTACCATCTAGCCTGACACTCAACGCCTCGCAACAAGTCTCCACGTCCAAAAGCACATCTTCGATGCTTTTTTGATACCATTCGAAGGCCTGCAGCTTCCTTCCAATTTTGAATTGTTTCATCCTGTTCTGGATATGGTTCAAAGGCCACGAATGAGCGAATCCATTTCTGATAGAAGTTACGTTATTGTACGTTTGCTTGTCGAACCAGCAAACATAAAGTTCTGCTAGTTCGAGCATGTTCGTTAATAGAGACATGTAAGCTTTCATGTTGAATCTTTCCTCGTGTGCTAGTTTGTCAGTTAAGGTTATGCCCTTGGTTTCCACAAATTGCAATATACCGTCTAGGCCAGAAAGAACGTATCTGTCGGCTTTGATGAAGGGTACCTTGAGGGTTGGCGACATAGCTTCTGCGTTACTTCTTTCCTCGATCTGGTACTCCAAATGGCACATTCTCAAGAAGGCTTCTACTGCTAGACAGTTGGACAGATCTGGTAGAATCATTTGTTCATCTTTGTAGGGTTGGTAAAGTACGACATCTTCGGGCCAAGGTTCTTGTGACATACCAGAAATGGTTTTGCATACCTCGGTATGCGAGGAATGTTCTCGAGCTTCTTTGTTTACTATAGAGAAATCTAGAATCATCTCATTCAGAATTTTATCCTTTGCTTGAACTATTTCCCCATCTTTATCCACCAGTTGGTTTTTGATTTGCTTCATTTTTAAATTTATGATGGCCGAGTCAAAATTTTATTATCGCATGCTCAAAGCATACCTGACAGAATTGATTTATTTTGTCAAAATGAAGGCTAACCTCACAAAAGTTTTCTGTCAATATACAGGGTTAGTTGAAAGTCACGAACCAGTTTAATATACAAGGTGATCAAGATTTGATGACACAGGTAGCCACACTGACGAAAATGAAGTCTATAGGAACGCTAATTCTGCATCACGGAGAAAAAAATCACTAACCCTAAGTGAATATTTAATAGTGGCAAGTAAAAACTTGTATACTATATGGGACAAGGAAACAAGTTAATAACCACAAGAATATTTGTGTTCCTGAAAATGTTCACCTACCACTATTGACCGGTTTCATTAAATTTCAGAGTGATAACGGTTAGTGAACACATCACTTGTCATCAGTGACCTATTCAATTGTCATTAGTAACTCATTCACTTTCCATTAGTAACTTGTTCACTAGTCATTAGTGGCCTAATTACATGTCATAAGTGACTTATCTACCAGTCATCAGTGATTTATTTACTTGTCAATAGTGACTTATTTACTTGTCATTAGCTAGTATGAAAAGATACCTCCATTGTTCTCTGAAAAATTATAAAACCTTGGTAATAAGACAAAAACACATGCATTCAAAACATTTTATTATATAGGTATGATGAATCCAGAACATACAAAAAAGGTAAGGCTGACGACAAATATTGAGATACTATCGGTCATTTATGGTCCCGTTCGTCACTTGTCCAAATCAACGACGTCAAAAGGACGTCTTCCAAACGTCACATGGACAACAACTTTTGGGCGTCTGACGGGCGGTATTATCTGGACTTCAAACATTTGTTAATCGCATATAGAGTGTTGTCATTTGTACCTTGTTACAATGTTGCCCTCTCTCCAGTTATTGAGTTACCTCTATCATTAGGGTGGTTGATGAATATTTTATAATGGGCTTATATCACGAAAAAATTTTATTTCATAATTCGATAGAACTCACCCAAACTAGCTCACCACCACAAACCGTTTCTTGCTGTGAGCTCTCTACGTTTTATAAAAAATTATTGAAATCCCCGATTTTTCGGAACGCTGAAAACGAGGCGATGATGTGACGTCAAAACCCTAATACTGAAACAAGACTATGAGATGAATGATACATGATTTCTGAGTGAATTGGTGCGAGATCACAGTTGAAAGAATTAATATATCAGTTGCCTCAGTCTTCGTGGGGCGTTTGGTATTTTCTTTAGATAACTATGGCGAGATGAGGTTTCTACGTAATAAGAGGGTCCGTCTTCAGGAGGTACTATCATTTATGTCCAAAAATAAAACATTCCAGTCAATTTTTCGATCGAATTAGGTCGTCAATCATTATTTATGTATAAAAGGATCATTATAAACATGGTTTGAGTTAAAAGTTTTACTAAGGTGTACACGCCCATTGCGCCATATATTCTTGCAGAGAGATGGTGGAGGGGGGGGGGGGGGGTTACGATACATGTCTCCAGATGTGACGCCAACTGTTAATGTCTGCTCATTTTATTTTTTTGTTCATTACTTTACTTATGAAGATTCACACCTGTAATTGGGCTTTGCCTGTTGGATGTGATTGAAATAAATAAATGAAAAAAGTTGACAATCGCTGTGATCACAGTTGAAATTGAAAAGAAACTGAGTGTCATCTTATAGTATCTGATAGATAATTCCATTTGCTTCTTTGTTTTCCAAAATCGCATAATTTATCGCGGCGCTAAGGCTTCGAGCGTTTTTTGTCATTCAACCTGTATGATATCATGAAAAATCGACCCATTTTTGTTTCAATGAAAAGCACGACTCTGCCCAAAATGATGTTTGTCTTTCAAAATTGATGACTGACTGATAGCTCAAAAATATTGTTTCAGGCAATGAAGGTTTCGAGACCTTATTGTCCGCCCAAAACAGCGAAATGATGCTTTTATACAAGTGGAGGGAGCTAGTAGAAGGTTTGCTTCCCCCACCAGGCACCAGAGGAAGAAGATTTTGTTTCGCTGGCGCAAAAAACAAACAAGATATCGCTCACACCCAATACACTTTCAGGCAGTTAGAGTATATCGGATTGGTGCTGAATAAGATGTTGAATGTGAAGCAGCATATTTTACAGGCAAGAATAATAGTTATTTATTATACAATGTGGAAAAGTAGTAGATTTCAGATCCAGGTAGTGAGCTAAAATCAAATATTTTTCCCGTGTATAATACACTAGTTTTTTCTGTGACAGGACGAAGGACGAATCAATATCGAGAAGATATTATATTATATTGAGATCACAAAATTATCGGAGTGAGATTTGAAGTTTTTAACAGTGATGAGACCTGCGTTGCATCTTTATCATTCTTTTGAAGTGATCAAATATATACAGGGTGGCCCACGGTCGATGGTACCTTAGACGTATACGGAAAACGGTACATTGGATTATCCTGAAAATTTGGTTACTCTAATAAGCGTTTGTGATCTAACAATTCAAAATATTTTCAGCGATGCAGCGTTGCCACTTTTACCAAAAAGTAGCATCATCTTTGTTATTTCAAATGGAACACCCTGATGTATTTTATTGCTTTTTTAGATTTTTCTCGAAGAGCTGATTTCATCAATGCATCACACTTGGGGTCTAGCAGAAATTATTACAGAGATATAGGGTGTTCAAAATCGAGATTTTTCAACTTCAGGATTTTTTTGTGTCGAAACTATTCATCATTGGTCAAAACGGCTTACATGTCCCTATATTAACTTTTGATGAACTATCTACCGACATTTAATTGGAAAAAATACAGGATGGTCCAAGATTCAGAATTTTGATCACCCTGTATCTGTAATTAATTAAAATGTTGGCATGAAGATGTTTTTTTGAGGCGTAATATGCACTTTCCAAAGAGTTCTTAGAAGGATATTGAAAGTATTGTTTTTGTTCTTTTGTGCCCTTTCTTTGTTTGCCCCACCACAACGTCTCATGCTTACGTCACAATACGATGAATTCTGATTCGTTTTCGATTTTGTTTTTCTTGTTCGAAATTGGCATTCGCGTTTGCAGCGTGTCACGCTTACATCACGCTGCTAACGAACAGAAAGGAATTTGGTGAAGTTTATTGTGTTAGAAGACTTATTTAGTTTGTAATAATGACCATCAGAAGCAAGATGTGTTGTTCGGTGCCTCAGTGTAATCAATATATAAAAGTACGAATTCATCAATACACAGCTTCTCTGCAGTTGCGAAATTATGCATTGTGGAGAACATTTAGAAAATTGGGAAACCTATTCCCAATTATATGTCTGTGTGTAGTAAGCACTACTCAGAAACCGATTAAGAAGGTAATTTCATATCAAGAAAATATTTTTATTTTCAATCTATTTTTAATGCATTTTTCCATTCAAGGGAAATGCAAGAGTTCATTTTGACAAAAGGCTTCAGAAAAGTACCTCGAAAATGTTTTTTTACAGCGATTTAATGTGCGCAAGCCTAATTGAAAATGTTGTGTTGTGTCCATGAAAAGGCTTTAAAAAGAACTATGGAGAAGGTAGTTTTGTGACATATCAAGGACATCTCGATAATTGCCGCCTGCGGCGGACATTGGCTGTTCTATAAAAGTTCTATTCATGTGTGAACAGAACATCGCAGTGGAGGTTCAATGTCTCGAAATCTCGTACTTTTAACATCTCTGAGATGTTTTTGTGCTCGCTGGGAAAGCTTTCAAAATAAGCAGTTCTGACGACGAGCTATCAGATTCCATCCTATTATAGAGGCAGCAAACTCTGCAAGTTCAAAGTTACTGCCGCTGAACTCTGAATCTCAACAAGAATAGGAAAAATAATATATAATTTGAATATTATGCCACAACAAAGGGACAAATAGTATTAAGGAGGAGGTGTTCTCAGCCTATTTTGCAGATTTACAAAAACAAATACTCTACCCAGATAACACAGGATATCCTATGGATATCCTTCTCAAGTCCATTTCAGGTCGGGATATCCTGGGACATGAAATGGATATCCATAGGATATCCGTCAGAGGATATCAAATGGATATTCTGATGCGGATCACCTATGGACGTCCATAAGATGTTCGTTTAGCGAACAAAAATTGTTAATTGAGAATGGTTCAAAACAATACGAATCATCACAAATATCACATGCAAATCACATGTTCATTAGAAATTCAAAGGTAGTTTTCCATCATATAACTATTGTTATGTAGGTATAATATGTTTATAGCCACAATTAAGATATCCGATGCAAATATGAATTCATATAAATAACAACACCACAGTTTGGAATTTTTCTCTGTTGTTCAATGTTTTCGTACAAAAATATACAATCACTCGGAAATAGCTCTCATATATTTACTTTTTTGTGGTCTTCAGATGGACATCCATGAGATATTCATCCATGGATTTATAGCGGATATCCATCAGAAGATATCTTACCCAGATAGCACAAGACGTCTTTAAGGTCTGAATTATATCCTATCTTAGTCTGTACGTCTAACTCCCTGAATAAGACGTCTACAAGATGTCATCATTCAGACGTTTTGAAGATATCTGATTCTCACGTCCTGAATACGTCTTAAAGACATTGTAATAATACAAATAAGCAATAATGATATTTGGTATATTATAATAAGTATTAATCATAATGACTTCTAGTGTGTCATATCTGAACGTTCTCCACTCTCAGAATTCCTGAATTCCACACCTAGTTATGGTTCTATTCTCATAATATGCGTTAAACTTTCAATAAGAAATATAGGTATGATCATATTGATTCAGGCTAATAGAATATTTTCAATTTCATAATTTTTATAACTTCACCGTAATACATAGAGGTTATATAGATTGTTCAGAGTAAGTTATTTTATAAATCGGGTGGGATGATTTGAAAATACCGCCATGTCAAACGAAAGAGAGATCGTAGCGCCAGAGCCAGAACGGCGAAAGCCAGTACTATTTGATTGTTTATATTTTACATTGTTTGGTTTTGGTGATGGTGTTTATTGAGAGGTGTGTTTATGTTAATTTCGTTTTGAGTTCTCAATCATTCTCAGCTTTGATATTTGTGTATTTTTTAAATCCGTGTTTTCCAGTGGTTCATTGTGCATTGATTGAGGACAATAATATCTCTGATGTTTAACAGTAGAACACCTACCTACCTCTAGTTGGAATGTTGAACCTAAAACCTATACTAACATAAGCTGTAAGTTTTTATCATTATTGAACAAGAATTCTTATGATTTGGCCATTTAGCCTGTGCATTTCAATCTGTCTATCCTTTTTCAGTGATTCAGTGTCTCCAAAATGAAGCTGAGCTCATAAATGCGGGCCACCTGGTTTTGGCTGGTCAAATGGATGCAAATGATTGCATTGAAGTATAATAAGTATTATGCCTCATTATGTTTACAGTCCACTGTGTGTGTCAGGTAAGAAGAACTCTCCCTAATAATATTGGTAAACTCCTGAAACTCAACTCTATATCATTGTTTTCAGGAAGAATGTGGGATCTTCCAGAGATATAAATATGCTTGGTTGACACAAAAAGCAATCAACAGAGGGACTAATACAATCAGTATTCCTATAGATGAGATGCCCTGTTTTAAGAAAAAAATGAAGAGACCAGTTATATGAAACATAATGAATATTCTCAATTTTCCTATCACAAACAGGGTGGACGAGCAACTTCTTTTCTGGAAATGTCAAACCTGTCCTTGGTAGTTGTACTTTTCAAATAAATGTCACAAAGATCAACTATTTATTTGTGTTGTATGTACCTACATGTTTACTTCATAACTGGCACTTTAACCGAGGATGGCATTTTCAAACGGGACACCCCTCGGGACACCCTGTATTTTATTCCATAATCGGTTAAGGATTATCATAACGAATTCAACGATACTGTGTTTGATAGGATTTCTACAAACGATTAGGAAGATATTCACATTTCCATATCCTCAATGAGCATATGAAAACTTCGAATGCAAATATCTTCGTAATCGTTTGAAATAACCCTATCCAATCCGGTACCGTTGAATTCGTTATAATAGTTCCCAATTCATTATGGAATAATATACATGGTGTTCTATATTGTTAAGGATATTTAGTAAATATCCCTGAAAAATATCTCATGGATATTTGTGAACAATATCTTATGGATATCCCTGAAAAATGTCTTATGGATATTTGTGAACGATATCTTATGGATATCCCTGAAAAATGTCTTATGGATGTCCCTGAAGGATATCCTATAGAAGTCCAACTCCTTCCACTCGGCACGTCCATTGGACGTCCATAAGATATACATCGGATATCACTGGATATTCTCTGGATATCCCAAATATCCTAAATGGACGTCCAATGGATGTCCATCGAATGTCCGTGTGTTGACTGGGATACGGAGTAAGTATACTTATATCTACTCTACGTACTTGAATTTGAGTTCCAGCTAACATTGTCTTTAAAGAAGCTAAATGTGAGACACCGACCGAAAGGGGTCAAACCAATACCAAAAGTGAAGTTTCCAGATTTATGGAAGGGGCACTTGATCAAGACCTTCTAAAAGTCGTCACCATTTTTGGGTTGATCGGTGCTTTTTTAATTTTTGTTGTTATATGATATGAAGCTCGTAGGCAGAATATTGTTCCTAACACGTGCGCAAAGTACATTCTTCACACGCAAAAAATAAATAATATGATGTAGGTATATACCGAGATGTGACGATTTTGATAAATACACCGCCAGAGACAGAGATAATGGAAGAAGCTGCGAAAGTTGGATTTGTTTCCGGAAATTTCAAGAAAAAAGTATGAATTGGCATAAACGAAAAATTTATGGAATCTAAAAAAATACAGAAATAAAATCTTTTTCGGAAAGTGTACTTTTTTGAAATACTTTGAGGAACTAGGAAAGGCGTCTACTCTTTGGTCACAATATTCAATGTGGCATAGTGCCACATTATAAAATGAATGAATACCAATGAGCTACATCACTCGGATTCTTTGAATAAGTGCAGTTGTAGAAAAAGTATAGTGTGCAACATGTGGGGAAAAGCACTATTCTCACTCGTGTGTTTGCATCACTCACCCTTCAGGCTCCACAAACATTCACACTCGTGAGAAAAGTTTGACTTTTTCCACTTGTTGCACAATATACTATATATTTATATATCATATGTATATTTTCAATATTATAGAAGAGTTTCACCCTAATTTCAGGTTGACCACTGTATCTCAGAAGACACCGATCTAGCCTATCACCAACAAGATCACCTGGAAGATCTCATATTCATTCTAGTCACCATCATGGACCAAGCAAGGGACCAATACCTGACGACCCAGAAGAACCCAAACATAATAAAAAACCGACTGAAAATCAAATGCAACTTCAACAACTACACGTCGAAACTGGTCGAACTGATGAGAAAGGACAAAGAACTAGCGACTTTGAACTTCGAAGATGACTTGGTTCTGGTGAAAACCATCCTCAAGTGGTTATACCGAGGCATGGACCAAAACAAAAAGTGCCTGGGCCCAATCCTGAGACCATACCTCAACAAGATATTCACCGCTTCCCATGCTGCTTCATGGCACATAGAATCCATCAAGGCAAGGATGAACCAAGATGAGCTGACAGCCCTGGGGTGTTTCGCTAAGCTGGTGAACTCTGGTGAAATAACTCCGGCACAGGGCCTCATCGACTCAGTGAACAAACATTGGTCCTGGGCTGAGAGTATGTTGAATGTGGTGGAGAAGAATACGCTAAGAGTGGTGTTCGTTTCTGAGAGGGGGAAGGTTTATAGGCACATTTTGTCTCTGCCTTCGTACCAAAGGAACATGGTCGAGGGCGGGAGCAAAACTTTGGAGGTCAGAAGTGAGAGACGGGAGATCCAGAGGCAGAAGACGTTGCCTAATAGAAGTTACTTCAGTTCAATCCTCAATGAAAGTAAGATTATAGAATTAGACATAACATAAACAACACAATTTACATACTGTCTGTAGGTTAATCGAGGAGATTGTACATTCATCATTCCAGAATTTTTGGGATTTTCTCTACGCGTTTCTATAAAATGAAAATATGAATATAATTTCATAATACGTGTAGTAAGGACAAATCAGATGATTTGCCCCAAAATGTCACTGACCTCACTAGTCTGACTATACCACAATGCTTTCAATCATCGAAATAATTTCACAATCTGGTTAACTCACAGAACTGTTTCCACCTCTGTAAGATAAAACTTCATTGTTGAATTTTCGAATACTCTACTAAAATTTTTTTTACGATTCCATTTACATCGAAGGAAGTTTATATTAATCACCTACAAGTACATATCCTCTATACTTCTTGAATTCTCTCTTCCTATTTCAGTTATTTTTGACCGTTCCAAACGTATTTCTAATGTACCGTGCTACTTTCCATGCTCAGAACGATAACTGAATATTCCATTTTTATATTTTCTCACGTTGACTTCGTCACAGATTTCCGAGTTTCATTCAAATACATTTCTTGAATGTTAGTGATGAGATCCAATTCAAAACTTAATCAATGTGATTCATCCCAGATCTAGGTAACATCCCAATACATCGAGAAACCGTTGGGAAATGGTTGAGTAACCATCCTTTGAAAAACGGTGAATATGTCGCAGAAAGAATAGTTAGATTATCATGTTAAATATATGTTATTAATACGTATTTATATCACGTTATTATCATAATCAGATTTACAACGCTGAAAAATCAAAGAATGACGTATTTTCCCCCCGCTCATTCAATGTTGAATAAACGTTAGATAAACGTACATATATGCCCATTGGGATCCACTTCACAGAAACCTAAATACGTTGTTTTCTTTTAATTTTTTTTATTTTGATATTCCCTTTTCTGTAGATGGGAGTGGCAAAAATTCCAGACACTAGTAGAACGCAAATGATTTTTCACTAAATTCATTTATGACCTCTCAGAGCCCCAATTGATTGATTGTAATTATCACCCCAAGACATCACATATATCTGTTTATAATAGGGATACATGGACACATATCAAAAATATATTATCGATAATGAAAGGTTAACGAATGATTTCCACTCAGTGGAAAGAAATTCAAACTTTTTATCAGGATGAAATATTTATAACATTTCAATTCTGAGTAATCAAATCCTACCAAATTTAAATTTAATTTTTCAATCAAATTGTCGTGACCAGGTAATATTTAAGATTTACTTTGAATCTTCTTACATCATGTATATTTTTCAATTGATTCGGTAATGAATTGTATGAACTCATTCCATTATGAAATATAGATTGTTTGCGAATGTTCGACTTGAATGTATTTGCCTCGCGTGTGTTTTGTTACGGAGGCACTGATTTCCTCTGCTAGGAAACAATTATACAAGTTTGATCACAAAACTTACAATAGGGTATACGCGTGTGAAAATTTTACACTGGAATATATTTTTGTTCCATTACTCATATGTATAGATGTCGAATTATACATCCGAAAAACATTATTAAGCACCGAACATTGAATAATTTCTGATTGAAATTCATAATATTTGCAACTTTCCGACCAACAGCCGAACTGCAGCGATGATTTCCGACTGGATGTGGCTGTGGCTGTGTCATGTCAAACATTCATGTCCGAAAGATTGAAGATAATATAAGAAGAGAAAGTGAGGTTATGATTATCTGAGCTTGTAGTTTCTATAATCTATCTCAATTATATGATCTCAATATTCTGAATAATAATAACTGAATAATAAGCAAATATCTACAATAAAAATGATCAAACAGGACTTCTTTTTGCATGTTGTTTCAAATATATATTACCACCTATCAATTTATATCTCATATAGTTTTCCATATCTTCTTCAAGCTGAAAACGAAATCATATATTATAATTATTATTCTGCTAATAACATGAGGAACATAATCATTGATATATAATAAGTTTCACTAGGACATACTTGAACGTATACTCACTTCGAAATGGTCTTCACAAACAAATCCTCTGGTTTTCTCGGATAAATCATTTCTATTTATGGCTTGCAACCATAATTTTCTTTTCTCTTCATTTTTATCACTCGATCCCACTGGCAATGAAAGGAATATTTTTCCTGGTGATACTTTTGTTGATGAAAGGCATTGCGGCACTAAAGAGTATTTGGTATAAACATTATCAATTTCCATTTTCAAATTTCAAATTTCTGGCATTTAAAACTGTTTTCTCCTCCTACCTCTTCTTCTTCTTTTTTTTTCAATCTGAATCTTGTCATTCTGTCGCGCTAGTCTATGGCTTTGCGGCCTAATACTATGACGTCATAATATTAGTGATGGCCACTAACCCGTTTTCCTGTGACTTCATATTTAGCCTCATTTAAATGAAATTATTTAGAGTCACAAGCAAATTTGAGATTAATGAATGATATCCAATGTTATTATAAGGAAGAATGAATATAATTTCGATTAAACAAAAAATCATGCGTATTCCTTATTGTTGCAGAATGCAAGGAATCTGATACAGACTCAATACCACAACACGACTTCCTAAAGAATTCCAGTCCTCTCAGCTTAGTTCTCAACAAAAAACATAGGGGAGGAGAACATAGAGGAGGAGGTGACATTTTCAGTACGTTGGCATCGATGCAAAAACTAAGTGTGAGTTTGATTCAAATAAGACATTTAGTAGAGCAGTTGAAGGAATTGGGGTGGAAATAATTCCCACAAAAACGCAGTTACCATTTTCTGAAGCCTCATTCGACCCCTCACACTATATTGAAAATATAGATGGATTCACTCATGCAAAAATGTTTCAATGCAACTTTTCATATTTCAGGTGCCCAAACCGAAATGATTGTTTCACAACTCAACACATGTTCCGCTACCTATGTTAGGATCTTCAGCATAAGATTCAAACGAATTTCAATATCTTCCTGAAAATGATAATATGGAAGCTGATCTCGAAATTTTTGTCGAGGAGTGATTGAAACTATTCGTGATCGTATGTGATCGTGAATCCAGGTATACCTAATATAGTGAATTAAAAGCAGCGATGGAAGATAACAAATGTATATTATGTTCATCAAGTACTGATCCTAGTTCGAATTGTGTTAAATTGACTGCTGAAGGTGTCCAAGGAATTATAAGTGCTAGCAAGCAGCAGCAAGACAAAATAATTGAACTCTTGGAACCAGTGCCTATTCATCCTCTAATTGTTCACGTCGAATGTCGTCGTGTGTACGTGAATCCGAACAAGATAAAGAGTGATCTCAGGTTTCAATCAAATCCTGATAGAGAAGCATCAACTAGTAGCAGCAGCAGCAGCAGCAGCAGCAGCAGCAGCAGCAGCAACAGAGCTTTGCGATCTGAGCTGCCGACATTCGCATTCAAAGATAATTTCATGTTTTGTGGCCAATTCATCAAGGAAACTGAGAAAATAATTGAATCTGCAATCACCAGTGCGAACTTTCACGTTTCTTCAAACTATTACTGATGTGTGTGATGCACATTCTTGGTCAGCTAATGTCCTTGCACGTCTTCTTTCCGTTATCGATACTTGCCAGCAGCAGATGCTTTATATAATCAGAAATGTAGTGTGAATTTTGGAAAAGGTGACTCTATTCCTAAGAAACATCAAAATGATATTCCCAATGAACAGACGAAGATAGCAAGACGTCCTTTCGATAAAAACAAGGAAGATGTTTTTTTAGAAATATGCAGGTGGCTCAAGGAAAATGATAAACCAATTTCAGTTCAGGAGTTGCTGGACAAGATTGCAGAGCTGCTGCCAGAAAATACCGAACCTTACATTGCTCGTCGTATGCAACAAAAATTAGAAGAATATTTCTCGGATGACATTATGATATTGAGAGAAGAAGGTAGATCGTTACAGGGGAAACAGTTGCTAATTAAATTTCTGATTATCAGCGACAAGAGTGTTCAGAAGATCCACATGCTGAAAAATGTGGGATAGTTGAATCAACAGCTAAACTGATTAAGAATGAAATCAAGTTGATAAGAACATCCTTAGCGTTTCATTCATCACCAGAAGAAATAAGTTCCGAGCAGGAAAATAGTAAGCTTTTACCCGACATTTTGAAAACATTCTTGGATATAATAATCAACAAAAAATCCTCAAGTTTGAAAAAAAAATCAATTGGACAGGCACTAATGCAAGCTGAAAGGCCACGATCTATCATAAGTGCAATTCGTCTAGCTGTTGGTGTGCAGTTTCATCGAGATTTTCGATCTCGGTTACTTGTCGATGAACTTCATAAGCTTGGGTTTTCTGTATTATATGATGAAGTACAGAAGTACTTGCAATCATCTATCATGGAGACAAGCCACCCTGAAGATTGGGGTTGTAAAAAAGTTGATGGACACTTTCAGCCTATCACATGTGAAATGAGTCCTGCACCACAATCGTTGTTGAATATGATTCGTTGTTCTTGCAGAACTGAAGTAGATATGATCCTTGTGGAACCAGATGTAAATGAATGAACTTCTGTTACATGCCAAATATGCCATTTTTATTAGGTTTATGATTTATACGCGTATTAACGAATTAACGAATATTGAAAACACTGTATTTTTATGTTGTACATACACAGGTATTATTCTATACATTTTTACATGTTTTTACATGTGTTATTCTATGCATTCTGAGCTAAGAGAAGCAAAAAAAGAATTTGTGGGAATTATAGTCATTATATCCAAATAACGGACCTTACCCGTGGATAATTTTTAAGTGTTTTTTTTTCATAGGTGTCTCGGGGGGGTCACTGGGAGTGTAAGTTCAAAATGGCGACCAAATCAAGCTTTTTCAACTTTACGGCATAAATGAACAGAAACAAACTTGTAGAGCATCAAATTTTGGACAAATTTTGTCTTCACCTGTTTTTCGGAAAATCGATATTTTCGGAATTAAACCTAAAAAAACGGCTCATTCGAAATATCATCATCTCGTTTATTCTCAACTTTACACCATAAATGAGAAGAAACAAACTTGTAGAGAATCAAATTTTGGACAAATTTGGTCTCCACCTGTTTTTCCGAAAATCGATATTTTCGGAATTTAACCAGAAAATATGTACCCACTGAAATGTTCTGTCTAATGCCACAACTGCGCTGGGCAGACTTGCGATAACGTCACACAATTGCGAGCCGTCGATGACAAAGACAGTGATAATGACAACGACATCGACGATCCCGCACCATTAACACTGAACCTTAACGAACGTGAAACTGGACATTACCAATTGACCGAAGAAGAAAGAGAGGATATGGATTTGCCAGGAACATCAGCTAAGAAACTAAAAAAAAAATAGTTCCGGAACCTTATTTTCACACCGACATGACAGACAAGCTACCTGCGCGGAATAACCTCTTCATTTATGCCGTAAAATGCGAAGCATTGGAGATAATGGTAATCTTTCGAATTTGTCGCTTTTTTCAGGTTTAATTCCCAAAATATCGATTTTTGGAACAAAAACGTAGTAACCAAAATGGTTTAGAATTTGATTTTCCACAAGTTTAGTCCTCCTCATTTATGCCGTAAAGTTGAAAATAAACGAGATAATGAAAATATTTCGAATTTGTCGCTTTTTTCAGGTTTAATTTACAAAATATCGATCCTATCAGAAAAATTGTGGAGACCAAACTTGTAGAGAACCGAATTTACTACAATTTTTATTGTCAAACTTTTTCTGTGAAATCAAAAATGGCCGTTTTTTAACAAAAAAAAAACATACGCAAAAGCTTGATTTGGTCGCCATTTTGAATTTACACTCCCAGTGACCCCTCCGAGACACCCATGAAAAAAAAAACACCAAAAAATTATTCACGGGTCAAAGTCTATAATGACTGGACTATAGTTATTTGTTTTACTATGGCAGCAAAGTAGTAGATGACTGCCGCGGCTGATAGTTTATAGCCGATAGAAAGTACGCCTCTCTTGCCTGTGCCAGAGAAAAGCCACTTTCTATGCCCCTTGAGGAAAAAACATATTTTAACCATTGTCTATCCCATCTCACAATGCGATGTATAAAATATTAAAATTGAACCACCTCTTAACTCCTTTGTTTTTAGAGATATGAAAATATGTTGAATAAAAAAGTTGTTTGAAACGACCCAAACTTCTTTTTTGTGTAGTTGTTTTATATATAGGGTCATCAGTTTTTCCGGAAAGGCGCAATCAACTCTGATTTTTTTAATGGAAAACCGTATATATTTTTTTATACAGGGTGTTTCATGAGGAGACTCACATAGCCAAATGGTTAATAGGGGAAATCAAGACGAGTTGATGTATATATATGAAAACATTTTTTGACCCTCCATAACGAAGATACAGGGTATTATGTGAAATTGCTATATAACTTTGATGGTCGATATTACAGAATTTATTGGTCGTAATCTGCTGAAATTTGGCAGCAACGTACCTCTACTGAAACTTTTCAAGATAACATATTATGAAAAAGATATCCAGGTCCGGACTTGGTAAAATTTTATATTTCATTGTTATGTCAAAAAAGTTCACTTTGCGATCACTTTTCTCAAAAAATGCCATCAGATTCAGAAATATCAGACAAAATGCTATGAGAACTGCTCTTCAATTCACACGGCACACTTTGACCGGTTCAACAAAAAAATATGGAACAAAATCGTTCGAATGAATTTTCAATTTCGACCTGGCTGATAACTCTCAACTTTTAACTGGATTCGTGTGAATTGATTTTTTGTACATTTTTATTGTATAAAAATTGACAGAAGAGATTAGTACTGATTCTTTAATGATTTGACATGTTAGTTTTTGACCGAACTTCTAGATAGATATGATTACTCGTGACTATAAATTTATCATAAAGTGGGCCCTGTTTTTATTTTATGTAACATGACGTTTGTTGATATAGGTAAACACTGGTAATCGAAATATTCTCACACTCTAGGTGCCACTTATCATATTCCAAATGCTGAAGAAGACGATTAGACGAAAATGTTTAATACCATAGAATGTTCCCAGACCCAGTAACACCTTCACGAACATTAGGAATTTTGAATGAATAGCAAATGCATATCCTTATATCACTTGCAGAAGTGTATCAATAACAAAAAATGGAGCTAAGTTTATGCGTGATGGCATAACTAATTTGATAAATCATCATAATATGGGCACATGAATCCTCATGTTGTAATTTCATCAGTTGGTACCTACCTAGTACTAGCCTAGTACCTACCTATCAGGTCGGATTATCAACAAACGTTACGTCTCGTCACACAAATGAAAAAACGGGCCTACTCGATATCTCACTTCAAGCGACACCAATAAAACAAAGTCAGGAATAATAATATCTATCTGGAATTCCGATGAAAAAATATCGTGTTTTTCTTCTCGTCTATTCTTCTGTCAATTACTTTTCAACAAAAATTTAGGAAAAATCAATTCACATGATACCAGTTGAAAGTTGACAGTTATCAGCCATGTCGAAATTTAAAATTCATTCGAACGATTTTGTTCTATATTATTTCATTGAACCGGACAAAGTGTACCGTGTGAATTGAAGAGCAGTTCGCATAGAATTTTGTCTGATCTTTCTGAATCTGATGAAATTTTTCGAGAAAAGTGGCCACAAAGTGAACTTTTTTGATATAACAATAAAACATAAAATTTTCCCAAGTCCGGACCTGGATATTTTTTTCCATAATATGTCATCTTGAATAGTTTCAGTAGTGATACGTCGCTGTCAAATTTCAGTAGATTACGACGAATCATTTCTGTACTATCGACGATCAAAGTTATATAGCAATTTCACATAATACCCTGTATCTTCGTTATGGAGGGTCAAAAAATGTTTTCATATATATACATCAACTCGTCTTGATTTCCCCTATCAACCATTCGGCTATGTGAGTCTGCTCATGAAACACCCTGTATATCGATAGAGCCTTCCATTTTGATTTCAAAAGTATAAATGAGTTGCATATTTGGATGAAAAATTGTTGAGTTATCAATAATGAATGTTTACCAAAATATCGCAACTTCCATTCGAACAGTCAATTCGTATATTTTCTTGTTGAGATTGAGCGAAAACAATAAATAAACATATCTTCAAAGCCCATTATTCCAATTGCGATAGTTTGGTGAAGGTTAATCATTAATAATTCAACAAATCTTCATCCAAATATCCAACTCATCCATATTTTTGAATTCATGAAGAAGGCTTTCTCTTTTGTGAATATATAGGGTGTTCTATTTGAAAAATCAGAGTTTATGTCCTTTGAATTAAATATAAAACAACATACACATAATAAAAGTTTTCAATGACTTCATCTGTTTACATCATGCCATGAACAGAGACAACTGTGGGAAAAAATCAACTTTAGCAAGTTCCTGATTCATGTTGGCGTAACTTTGGAAATCCAACGTTTTCTATCACGTGCATCCCTTGAGTGACTATTTCCTGGAATTTCAGGTTTTTCAAGAAGTAGCATCATCTTTACCTCCAGGAGACCGATTCGAACTAGCAGAACTCGTTCAACATATACAGTCATCCAAGTCAAGAAAATCATCTACAAAGAGATGGTCTGGTACCTTGCCGAAAATGAACGAAAAGAACAGAATTGAGTTGAAAAACGAGTCATCTCAGAAGTACACACCCAAAGAGGAAAGTGCCGGTATTCAAATCAGAAAAATCGAAGCTGATAATAGTGTGAGAAATTCCAGAAACAGAAATAATGCCCTGATAGAAAGTTGTAGAGCTGCTAGAATCAGGGAGGATAGTGGTGTTTTTTATTTACACGACAGTTTCAAGATAAAGTCATTGTTGAGTAAAAGCGATTCTTTCAAATATAGTTAAGCTGCTCAACCACTTTGGAGTGCACAGGATTTTACGCTTTCAACACTAATTACCTCGAAAACTAAATGATATATTGGAAATTTTGAAACAAAATCTTGAATCAGATATTGTTCTTTGATGAACGGTGCCCTCCTGTGGGGGGGGGGGGGGCGAAATGATAATTTTTTTCAAAAGGAACACCCAATATTTCAAAAGTGCTTTCTGTTGATTGAAAAGAAAATAATTTCAATAGATTCCATGACATAATACCTACTGGATGAATCGATGGAATAAAACTTAGTGATTAATTGGAATTTTCGTCATGAAATCATCTAATTCAACTATAATTGAGCTGAAATTCAAAGAGATAATTAAACTACCACAATTTCGATCAACTTCATATTATCCTTCGTCACATCTTCACGCTCCCAGTAAATGGAATGGAGATATAATGATTTGGAGGCCACCTTTCGAAGGAGAACAACATCTCATTCAAGATTGGTATTGGTATTGGTATTGGTAGGTTGGATGGTGACAGATGCGCTGCGACCTAATTAGATCTATTGTGCCCCATCTGCTCCTGCTATATCAATGATTTCTTGTTCATAGCAGCCCCTCGCCCAGATAGCACACACTCGCCTAAGGTCATCCTCAATGTGTCGCCAAACGCCTGGAGAGGACGTTCTATTTTCTACAACCTAAGAACATCATCAGGCGTAAATTTAGTGCTGTAATTGTCCTAAATGAGTTCTTTCAGTGACAGCCTGAGGATGCAAAGAATTTCGTGCCTACGGACGTCTTCAGATGACATTCCATGAAATAACGTGTCATCGAAGACAAAAGGAAGAAGAAGAAGAACTAGAATTGAGGTTATGTCTCATGATAGTCATGATTTGTTCAAGATACATCATAATATATCAATGATTATATCAAAATTATTAGAGTATTCATTGAATACCTTCATCAAATTCCTATTTCACAAAATGATTGCGAGAAGAACTTATTGCACATAATTAAAAGATAACAATAACAAAAGGATGATAATCTCTGTTAATGACATTTCTCTCAGGTAGCAAGAAACAATGGTGAGTAAATACTAAATAGAATCATTGATAGTACCGGACATGAAATATTGATACATTCATATACATTATTTATTGTTTCAGGAGGTTATTGAGAACACAAACTTGATGATATCATCATAGCAAACATGTTTTATTCCAAGATAGCTTTGCTTCTTCGGAATCTATAAAATATTGTATGGAAGCTTGAACTTTCAGTAAGAATTCAATTAAGGTAGGTACCTGAATCAAATCATTGATATAGTAGGTACTAGACATAAAATGTTAATAGGTTAATTATTTGATTCAGATGAAGTTATTGAGAACACAAGATTGATGATGTCATCAGAGCAGATATGTTTCATTCCAAGATATTTTGGCTTCTTCGAAATCTATGTGAGATTGCGTATGCATGTTTGCACTTTCAGTATATTCAAGAAAGGTAGGTACCTAACTCAAATCATTGATATAGTAGGGACTGGAACATGAAATATTAATAGGTACATTATCTGTTTCAGGAGGTTATTGATAACACAAAATGATGATATCATCAGAGCAGAGATATTTTATTCCAAGATATTTTGGCTTCTTTGGAAATTATGAAAGATTGTACATATGCAGACTTGAACTTTCAGTAGATTCAATAATGGTTGGTACTATAACTACATAAATCATATCATTGATAGTAAGTACTGGACATGAAATATTAATACATTGTTTGTTTCAGAAGGTTATGCAAAACACAAACCTGATGATATTTTCATTCCAAGATAGTTTTGCTTCTTCAGAATCTATAAATTGCATGAAGGCTTCAACTTCCAGTTGATTATTCTGCATCAGGAATGTCCAGAGTTCAGAAATCAAAAACAACATGGAGAAATATAACTATCAATAGACAATAACTTCTAGTAGTGCTCAACAAGAAGCTGAAATACATTTCTTTGAAAAGGAAATTGAAATTTTTCAGAATAAGTTATAAATAATAGAATGTAAGTTTTTCATTTGGTTTTTCATTTGAACCTATTATAAATAGAGGGAAATTTTGCAAATATCATGAGATCCATATTATTTTGAAGAAATTATCATTTGCATAATACAAGGTGAGTCAATAGTGTGTTATCCTTGTATATTAGCCAAACCATCAGATACATAGAGAAAATTCAAGTACAACAGTAATAGGGTTTCATGAGAACTTTCACATTAAATTGTTTTCATATATATCTGTAGGGTGTTCGAATTCCAAGATATATTGACTGATGATTGTTTTTTTCCAAATGGGACACCCTGTATACTATTGCATTTTCAGGTTCTCCCTGAAGAGCTGATTCCATCAATGTATCACACTTGGGGTCTAGCGGGAATGATTACAGAGATATAGGGTGTTCAAAAACAAGATTTTTCAATTTTAGGATTTTTTTTTGTGGAAACTATTCAATATTGGTCAAAACGGCTCATATATCCTTATAAACTTTCGATTTACTATCTACTGACATTCAATCGGAACAAATAGAGGGTGGGTTAACATTCAGAATACTGATCAGATTGTATATCTGTTCCAAATAAATATCAGTAGATAGCTAATCAAAAGTTATGACAGGAACATGTGAGCCGTTTTGACCATTAATGAATAGTTTCGACACAAAAAATCCTACATTTGAAGAATCTCAATTGTCAACACCCTACATCTCTGTAATAATTCCCACTAGACACAAAGTGTGATGCATTGATGGAATCAACTCTTCAGGGAAAACTCAAAAATGCAATAATATACAAGGTGTTCCATTGAAAAAAACCAATCATCAACCGATATCTTGAAATTCGAACACCCTATAGATATGAGAACAACTTTAGGTGATTGTTCTTATGAAACCCTATTACTGTTGTACTTGAATTTTCATTTTATTTATCTGACGGTTTGGCTAATATCGGAGGAGAACACACTATAGTGACTCATTCTGTATACAAATAATATTCTCCCATAAATCTTGAACCTCCTTGAAACATCATCAAAAACCGCCTCAAGTTGTTACCATGATGTCCTGAGGTTGTCTCAAAAGATTTTATAGGGATGTTCTGAGACGTTATTAGTATGTAGAGAATGGTAACAGGAGGACGTCTTGAGAATGTCCTCAGGCTCGCTCTCGACGTCCTGAGGACATGATTGTGAACGCCTCAGAAGGGCCTCAAAAGGAATTTGTGCTATCTGGGCGAGATTCAATTCCTTCAGGAATTTGAGGATTTTGAGAGAGTCTAGCTGTGGTATTTCTTCCACAGTCAGCTGGTGTGTTCCCAGTGTGTTCAATCTTTTATGATGTACAGCGTCACACTCCATCAGTATGGGATGGGGTGTTTCTGGTTCTTCCTCACAGAATCTGCAGGTACCGTCCTCCTGTAAGCCTAGCTTCCTTAGGTGTTCTTTGAGTCTGCAATGCCCCGTTAGAAATCCCGTTATTGCTTTGAGACTTCCTTTGCTGAGGTTTGTCAGTGTCTCATTCAAGATTATGTTTCGAAGTTTCCAATATCTTATTTAGTTTTCGAGATATTGAGTGTTTATAGCATGAAATCCATCCGCCTTTTGAAGTTATTATTCCCAGAAGATGAATATTTATTGTCTCATAACGAAGCTTTTTCATAGCCCAGATCAAATTTTGGTTCATTAAAGAGTGATACAATGGTCCCTCCCTCCTCTAATTTTTTGAACGGGTTCACTGAAAACATTGTAACATGGGATAATGAAATTGATATATGAATACTATATTTTGGTGTGATATTGATAAATGTAAATTTCAAGATGGCGACTGAGCTCCAATTGAGACAAAAAAGGAGGGGCCTTGTGACACATCTTTTGAAGCTCCTGACGAATACTTCACAACCCTAGAGTATAAAGTAAATATTCCCATCTAGTACAAAATGGCGGAACATTTAATAGTTTCCTGAATATAAACACATTAATATCGATATTGTATCCCAACAAGATGTAGCACCATCACATTACTACCCGCATTCTCATATGTTTATCGCTCACTCAGCTGCAAAACTATTTTAGAAATGATGATATCATAATATATATGTGTATTGTGTATACGAGTAGTAAGGTACTTATTATTGTTATAATAAAATTATACTTTAGTTTGTCTCAAACTATAGCAATCTGTGGTTTTATTTTGTTTTGCACAACCCCAGTTTTTGAGACAACAGTGATAATACTTCGATGGAACAGATAATTCTTCGGTTCATGTTCGTTCACGTATGCCTCACTTCGTGCAGAATGATCCAATCGAAGATTCGTTCGAAGAAGCTTATGACATTTGACTTTATTTCAGTCACATGGCTCTAGCTGGCAGCAGCATACAATGTTTTATCTGATGGCATGTCATAATGACAACGTTATGTCACTCAATTTTGATGACATAAGGAAGCTCATTATGGGACTAAGTACCATAATGAAATTCTATAAGGAAAACATGTAATGGTTTGATCAAAAAAGTTTATTCAAAATGCATAACTATGTACAAAACTATTTATTATAAATGGTAAAAGAACAATTACTACAATTTGTAATATTAATATAATGGCGAAGCACAGCTCACTCACCTACTAATATTTGAAACTACACAATACTTACTCCTTTAAAAATAGTTGTCATTGTGACATGTCGAAAATGCAGTTTTTAATTTTTCGAAAATGTATTGATATAAATGCCATCAGATAAAATTTTGTATGTAATACGAACATAAACAATCATTATGGCACACGCCGTGTTATCGGACTCGGCTACGCCTCGCCCGATAACAATCACGACTTGTACCATAATGATCGTCTTTATGATCCTTATTACATAAATTACTATTGTCGCGATCTTTTATGGCACTACCTTAGATTTATGACAGTAGATGGAGATAACATGACTACAATAACATCATGTAATACCCTGCGGTTGTATCTGGCTTGTGATTGGTCAGATTATATGTGATGAGTGAAATAGTCAGTGTGAGACCATGGGTATTCCAGATTTGTCAAACAATGCTATTTTTTCTGCAACCGATACAATTAACTCGAATGAATATGTGG